TATATATATATATATAGTATTTTGTATATATATATATATGTATATACATATATATATATGTATATTTAAAATAGCTACAAAAAATTACCGCATTCATATTCACAATTATTCCTACTCAATAGTCTCTAGAATAATCATACTTATTATAAAACCTAGGTTGTGTGTGTGTGTGTGTGTGTACGTTTATATATTCGATCGGATTTCCTACATTTTTCAACCTATTTCAACAAAACTTCACAGGACTCCGTAAAATTAACTTGCAGTGGTTCTGACAGCGCCACAAATTGGAAAAACAGAATTGTTTTTGCACGAAATCAATTTGAAATCACGATTAAGAGGCATAGCGAGAATGAAAGGGGGACAACTCATATCAAGTTATACTTATTATAAAACCCAGGTTGTTTGTGTGTGTGTCTGTGTTCGTTTATATATGGGATCGGATTTCCTACATTTTTCAACCGATTTCAACAAAACTTCACTTTTTTTTTGGCAGGTAGTGTTTCTTATTGTCTTGCACACTTTTTTCTTTATTTTTACATTCAGAATGCTTTAAAAATTCCATTAACAAGACAATTGTTTATGATAAAATTCTATTCAATCGGTAGACTCATAACGATTGAAAACAATGTTTTTATTTGAGTTTGGGTTTGACCAATTCGTAAAAAAAAAAAAAAAAAAAACTAATTAAGACATGCGTGTCCGTCAACCTTAAACAATGATCTTTGTCAATTTTATTTTTCAGTCTTTATGATGGTCGATATTTGATCTATCTCTTACTGTTACATCCCCGGGTAACGCTGGGCTCTACTGCTAGTTTGAAATATAACTGTTGCCGACAACTCAGTAACCATTAAGATAATACAAGAGACCTTTATACCCATAATGCACCATTGTTCAGCATATACAAATAGCTGAACTAAAACATACTACACATACACTGAAGAATCCGTTCAAGCATGAAACTGACTGTCTCTCCTCGGAGTTGCCATTATTGTCCATCCACTTATATATATATATATATATATATATATATATACACTCATTAATGATTTCAACAAGATGTCCAATCTGACAAAAACTCTCAAAACAAGTTTATTTCTTTAGGGAAAATCTCTAGAAGATTAGTTTAGACAGACTTCACTTCTCAGAATCCTTACATTGATGAATATGCCAAAACAGAAACAAAGGTCGCTAAAGAGCGAATTTCTTAATGCCATAAGGAGAGATGAATATATATATGGAGGTTGTTGCTCTTTTAGATTGTAAAAGGCTTACAGAACGGGGGAAAGATTGAAAAACACTCATTAATACTCATTATTTAAGAACAAGAATGAAGAACGAAAAAAGTTACTACCAGATTCTTTTGTGCATAATCCGGCGAGAGTATAATAGGACTTCGTGGCACAGCCACCGCTAATGTTTGAAAGCTTGTGCCATATTATCCATTAATATCTCAATATCTTACATACCTATTCTATAAATATTTTCATGGTAAGTTACCGCTTTAGCAAGTATCAAGCTCCATGCTATCCCTGACCTTTATCGGAGCTAGATCAGTCTGAAAATGGAGTATTGTTGCCATATTTGGGCGGGAAATACTGCCCAGTCCTCACTTTCCAGTCTTGATAGAGTTCAAAAGTGGTTCCAAATTATTGTCGGAGAAGAATTAGTTTCCATCCTCTAATCTCTCTCTCACAGGTGGAACATGGCGAATCTCTCACAGCTATATCCCTACTTCCATGGAAAATTCTAGGACGAACTAGATTCCTTGGTTCCGTCAGGTCTAACCTTCACTGCTAGGATCCGCCATGCCACTTACACAGTCACAAACCAACCACATTCCCCCCGTATTCTATTGGCGTGAAGTAATTTCTGGTCAAACAAATTCCTAAATTTAAATGCAATATCAGTCACTATCTGCTGTCTCCCTAATTTCTCTTCTATTGTTCTCGCTCCTTAGCAATGTTTCTGTTTTCTAAGTTTTCCACACCAAGTAAACCTTTGTGTCTTAGTGGCTTTACTGCCTTGCTTGGGGTGATTTCGATTAAAACAAAAATACGAGGGCGAGTCAAAAAGTAATCCAATTTATTTTATCATATAAGAAACAAGGAATACAATCAAATATATCAGAAATCAAGATATAGATATACATCACAGGTCCACATCCCTACTTCTTAATATAATCACCATCTCTTTCAGTGACAGTGTTCCACCAACGAATGAGGGTGTCTATTTCAGTTTCGTAACACCCAGTTGACTGCCGATGCAGCCAATTCCTTACATTAGTTTTCACTTTTTCATCACAACCTGACAGCACTCTCAGACTTCCATTTCTTTAGTTCAATAAGAGAGGCCCTGAGAGACAAACGTTATGGCGGTGATGAAGAAAGAAAGTCTGCAGTCGAAAAATGACACTGAAAGAGATTGTGACTATGTTGAGAAGTAGGGTGGTGAATATGTAATGTCAAGCTATATCGTGATAGATGATGTTTGATTGTATTCCTGATTTCTGATATATATATATATATATGGATTTTCAGGTGGTGCAATGTCGGAAGGAGAAATCAATGAGTCACGTTCAGTTAATTCAGTTTCAAGCAAATAACATCGGGAAATGTATGAATCCATCACTTGTCAACCCCACATATAGTTTAAATAGTAGGGCAGCCTGGACTCTTCTGCTTAGGCGAAAGGCAACTCTGAATTCAAAACTAGTACACCATAGAGCTCCACCCCATCACACACACACATATATATATATATATATATATATATATACAAAAAATACGATAACATGTAACAACAAATTACTAGTCTTATATACAAGAAAATACGATAACATGTAACAACAAATTATTAGTCTTATAAACAAGAAAATACGATAACATGTAACAACAAATTACTAGTATTATTTACAAGAAAATACGATAACATGTAACAACACATTACTAGTATTATTTACAAGAAAATACGATAACATGTAACAACAAATTTTCAACGAAATAAAATTATGGTGTTTTTTTAAGCATTTCACCCCAAGCAACTAGTACGCAAGGGGTTACAGAGTGCAACTAGTACGCAAAGGGTTACAGAGTGCAACTAGTACGCAAGGGGTTACAGAGTGCAACTACTACGCAAAGGGTTACAGAGTGCAACTAGTATGCAAGGGGTTACAGAGAGTGAGAGCAAGTGTAAAGAGGGCTATTTAAGGAAAGGAAAAGAGAAGGACGGGTAACAAGATCACGGCATCAGAAGATGACGATTGTCATTACATTTGAATATTTGAAGATTATAGCTATCAGGGAAGCAAGGAAGAAGAAGGGTGTTCCACCAACAGATAAGAAGCTGTTGGGGTAGAAGGGGCGGTTACATTTAACCGTTTGGTGTGACCAAGATACTAACATACTAGCAAGCTTAAATTCATGAAGTTAGGGAACCAGTGAAAATAGCTCGTCGAGGCACTTGTCGCGAAAATATTTGTAGAAAAGACAGAGGGATGCCACGGCCTGTCTGTGAGAAAGTGACTGTAAGTGAGATGCCAGATCAAGACCCATCACATTGCATATCCGTCTCTGGATTTTGTCGGAGACCGCGAGACGAACAATGGGGGTACCAGACCACATATGGCAGCAGTATTCCATGCAACGACGAATGGTTGATTTGTAGATTTGAGGGAGGAACTCAGGCGAGAAAAAACTTTCTGGCGCTACACAGAGAACCAACTTTCCTTGCAATGGATGAAGCAATCGATTCAATGTTTTTTTTTTTTCGCCTCAGGTCAGCGTGAGACCAAGCAGGCGCAGAGAGGCGCTCTCGTGGAAGTTGGGCATCAGCCATTCTGATGGGAGGCAGAGGAAAAACATTAAATTAAACAATGGTTATAGCTCAACTTGAATTTTTATTACACGTGGCATTGTCAACTATAACTGTCCACTGTCACCTCCCCCAAAAGGGGCAAAATGATTTCTTTGAAAATGTATATGAAAGCACCGAAACGAAGTTGCATCTTTGTAGTGAGTAAAATGTTTTTGTCTATATGAAAACATTATAATAAATAACTATTGCTCTATTATCAGTATCGAACCCTCTTTTGAATTAATGCTGTCAAGGTTAGAATTTATATATTATGGTGGTCCTCATTGCAAGGGGATATATATATATATATATATATATATATATATATATATATATATATATATTTATATATATATATATATTAGGAGCAACCATGTGACATAAGCGTTAACGAATAATAGATGAGGAACAACCAGCTGAATAGGCTTCGAATAATAATAAATTCGAGATAATATTACTAATACTAGTAGCCATAGAATGACGGTCTTAGTCGAAACAATGAAAATCAACTAACGAAATGCTAACAAATAATTAGTAATGTCGGACAAGTAGTTGGAATGTCGAACTGAACCCTTTATTTCGCTCACTGTGTTAGACTATTCTAGTTCCACGTGCCATGTCTCCCCTCTGAAAGTACTCCACTGCCTTAAGGTATTGAACTCACACTCTTTGAGTCCTGTTACTGGATCTAACGCCTTTATCCACTGTGCCATGTGTTGTGATAAACATGGTGACAAAGATGAGAACAATAGTCCGTATAATGTAAATGGAGTGCATAATACCTCACCTCAGAAATATAGACAAATAATGTCTGACAAGGTTTGAAGTAATAATAAATTCATAATAAATGGTCGTAGACAGACGTGGTTTATATGGAAAGGAGGGAAAGATAACGGTTAACTCTAAACTTGAACAGGTTAAGATTGTGGTGGCCAGGGAAACAGTCTCTTGGGATTCTGTTCTTGGGAAGAAGCTGTCTGAATGGGACTTACTTCACGCCAATGTGATACAGAGGGAATGTGACTGGTTTGCTACTATGTAAGTGTCTTGGCGGGTCCTAGCTGTGAAGATTAGAGCTGGCGGAACCAAGGATTATAGTTCGTTTAAGAATTTTCAATGGAAGTAGGGATAGAGCTGTGAGAGACTCGCCACGTTCCGCCTGTGAGAGAGAGAGAGAGAGAGAGAGAGAGAGAGAGAGAAAGAGAGAGAGAGAGAGAGAGAGAAAAAGAGAGAGGAAGAGAGATAGAGAGAGAGAAAAAGAGAGAGAAAAAGTGAGAGAGAGAGAAAAAGAGAGAGAGAAAGAGAGAGAGAAAGAGAGATAGATATAGAGAGAGAAAGTGAGAGAGAGAAAGAGAGATAGAGAGAGAAAGTGAGAGAGAGAAAGAGAAAGAGAGATAGAGAGAGAGAAAGAGAGAGAGAAAGTTAGAAAGAGAGAGAGAAAGAGAGAGAGAAAGAGAGAGAGAGAAAGAGATAGAGAGAGAGAGAGAAAGAGGGATAGAGAGAGAGAGAAAGTGAGAGAGAGAGAAAGACAAAAGAGAGAGAGAGAGAGAGGTTGGAGGTGGAAAATAATTCTTTCCCAACAACGATTTGGCGACACTTTTGAACTCTATCAAGACTGGAATGAGGTTTAGGCATCTACCGCCCAAATATGGCAACAGCACTCAATTTTCAGCTTGATTTGGCTCTGATAAAGGTCGAGGATAGCATGGTGTCAGGTAGTTGCTAAAGCGGTAACTTACTATAAAGTATTTATAGAAAACTCATGTATTGAGATTCAGGGCAATGGTTCGCGTGAAGAAACTGTTTGATCGGAACTTCTCGCCTATACAATACGGAGGGAGGGCACCTCGGTATGGTGTAATGCTTAGCAAGCTTGTCTCTCTAGAACAATTACGACTGAGTAGTGAGTTAGATCCTCACTGGGTGCCCCATACTTTCGGCCTTGTGCCACATCTGAGCTACGCTTGGAAACTCACTATACAATACGGAGGGAATGTGGGCGGTTTGCTAAATTGTAAGTACCATGGCGGGTCCTAGCCATGAAGGTTAGACCTGGTGGAGTCAGGAGATGCAGTTCGTCCTAGCACTTTCCATTGGAGTAGCAATAGAGCAGTGAGAGAATTAACCACTTACTGCCTGTGAGAGAGAAGTATGTAGGGTGGAAAATAATTCTTCTCTAATAAGGACTCGGGTGAGTTTTTGAACTCTATCAAGACTTAAAATTGAGGATCAGGTATCTCCCGCTCGAATATGACAACAGTACTCCACTGTCGGCCTGATCTGGCTCTTATGAAGGTAGAGGACAACGGAGAGTTAGGTACTTGCTGAAGCAGTACAAGGATATAATATAATATACAAACTTTTTTTTTTAATGATAAACAATGATTCATCTTTTAATTAATTCCAGATAACATTACTGTTGCGGTAGGATCCACCTAATTTTCATAGTGGAGTACCGACCATATAAATATGGTTGGTACCGGGAAGAGAGGGGGGGGAATCAAAAGATTCAATCCAGAGACTCTGCCTGACTGCGACTAAGTCAACACATTCTCCAGGAACGGTCTTCCCAGGAATATACAAAAGACTATATGAAGAAATTTGAAAAAAACAAACAAAAATCCTTAAAAATAAATTGTCTGAACTACATTTAAGGATTTTTGTTTGTTTTTTTCAAAATTTCTTCATTTTCGGATTTATATCCATTTTCTTATATAAAAGACTATATGTAAATATTGTGTACATTTTCTTGTTTCAATACATTTTGTTCTAAGTACATTTTGTGTTGTATTATTATTCCATGCATTAGTCAAGTTTCAACAATTACTAAAATTAATAATTACCACTGATAATAATTACCATAGAATGGCTGTTTGAGTTGCTGCAATGAAAAATTGAAATTAAATACTTATCAAAATTTGATAGATTTTGTGCGTGAAAAAGGACAAATATGGCGCCATGCGATTATGGAAAATAAATATGGCTAGATCTTTGCTCATTTGCCAACTATAATGTCGTAGTAACTGAAACCGTTAAAATAGCCATTTTAGAAAATCGGTCATCCTGAAATAGAATTTTGGTTTATTTATTTTACCGCTGAATGTGTTATTTAACGCCGACAATATTTTTACAATAGATCCGTATGAATAGAATATGTATTCTTTATAAGAAATCATTTTGTAGGAGATCAGGTTTTATTGATGTATTTTTGTAAAGAGGGTTTGAATAATGATTCAGTGATACACTTTTACTAATTAACCCATAGTTGGGGAGAGAAGAGGTAGATCAATACCTTTCTCAAGTGAATATACCGAACCCAACCGAAATTGGAACTCGGTTCGACGATTAACAATTCAAAGCTTTTATTCATTACACCACCCGAACTTCCAAGATTAAGCACCTTTATTTCCAAAAGTTCACCCATCTAGCTACTGACCAGGCTCGACTTTGCTTAACTTCGGTGATCGAATGGGGACTGGTTTTTGAACGCGATGTGGCCGTAAGCCTCCTGAGGCACAAGTGTTGCGAATCGGTGTCCCTCAAGAGTTTTCTTATTTCTGATCTGCGATGTTTACTGATGGTCAAAGACCGACGGCCCGTGGTGCTGTGAAGGAAAGAAACTTCTATCAAGACGAAGGAAACATTAATAAAAAAAATGAATTATAGCCAATCATTATAGATGTTGAGAAACAAACTTTGGTCCAGCAATCTGAAATTCTTTTCGATGTTTGTGCATTGTTGTTCAATAAATTACGAGAACTATCTTACACGAAATTTCGCCGTGATCTTAATTCCCAAGAAATGAAAGGTTATATAGAAAGCGAATAGGAATAATTATAGAGTCAATTATTGGAAATTGCACCGGCAATTGGTAGCACGTAAATGGAATTTACTTTCAAAATAACCCACAGAAATAATCACTGAGACATTTATAAGCGGACAGCAGAATTACAAACACACACACACACTTATGTTATCGACTCAGAAATATATGCAGACTTGTTTTGAAAAAATCAATTTCTCTATTTGTCTAATTCTTTTTCTCTGTCTATCAGTCTGTTTATCTATCTATCTATTCCTCTGTTTATCTATATATTTTAGTACATCTATCTTTCTATCTCTATATCTATCTATCTGTCTTTTTTTCCGCCCACTCATATATTTGCACAATTATATTCGCAAAATAGATTTTGAGAATCAGCCAATTTGAATGCGTCAGAAACAAAAATGATTCCCAAAGCTATAGAAGTTATAAGGAAATGTTGAAATTGAATAATTTATATTCAGAAACACACTGTTTCAGTTCCGGTAAAGAAGCTTACTGTCAGTAAGCCAAAACATTTTAATTAGGTATGTGCAAAAGTTGCCAGCGCCCTCTTTTTCGAAAACTACAAACTGAATATACAGTAGAAAAGCGATGTTTTCTTTTTCAAAGAAAAAAAACAAAAACAAAAAAACAAAAAAAAAAACAAAACCAAAACACATTCCAATGCTCAAATTATTTTCAAATTTTACGTCCATAACGATACACCGATTTTCACAGAAACTGTGTGGGTAGCTTTAATTCGGAAAGCAAGAACATTAAGCAGAAAATTAAAAAAAAAAAAAAATTCCACACAAACCAGACTGCTAAAAGAGTTCGTTAAGTTAAATAATGAAATAATCTACTTTAGGTTTAAGGCTTTATTTTTTTTATTCTTACTGTATTATCTTACATGGATAAAATAGATAAGAATTTTGGTTAAGTGAATCAAGTTCAATTCTTGGTTCTGCTAGCGAAAAAAATCATATTTACTTGATATCTCTGAGATGAGGTATTATGATTACTGGCATTATTTACATTATTCAGACTGTTATCCTCACCTTCTTTGCCATATTCACAACTTTTCGGCCATTGTGCGCTCCGGCCTTCTTCAGGTGATTGGAATTTTGAACCAAACCATTTATTTCGTCCACAGTGGTAGATTGTTCTAGTTCCACGTGCCATGACTCTTACGGATGTCCTCAAGGACACATGACCCAGTGAGTAAAGACGTTGGTGAGATCCAGTGACTAGGCCCAAAGAGTTGTGAGTTCAATACCAAACTTGAAGAGGTGAGTTAAAGGGAAATAACTCAACCGGAAGAGGCATGGCACGTGAATCGTACAACGGCCGAAACGTTGTGAATATAGCAATGAAGATGCGGATAACAGTTCGAATAATGTAAATAATCTCGGATTGAGGAATCAGAGAGCCGAGTTCGAATTCCAGTTGAATCCATTACGTGCTTGGGGAAGGTATGAATTCTCTTCTTCTCCCCACCCCCAGATATGAGTAAATAGCGGGACAGACCGGGTTCTCTAGCCTTTGATGGCAACTAGTCTACCGTAGAAAGAAATGGTAACCTATTGCGGGTAAAAATCTGCTCGTCAGCCACGTATCGAAAGATACATGATCGCCTAAGCGTGTATCACGCATGGCACATAACTGACTGATTTATATGTCTTGATTCGCAGTCATTTTGTTTCGTATAATGGAAGTATATTTAACAGGATAGACTGGGTTCTATAGCCTTGGATGACAACTGGTCTACCACAAAAAGAAATGGCAACAGACTGTGGGAAAAATCTGCGTCGTCAGTCATGTATCGAAAGATACATGATCGCCTAAGCGTGTATCACGCATGGCACATAACTGACTGAATCATATTTATTTGTTCAGTAGAAGATACAGACTACATGATAATGACGGTCCAGTTAATAGACAGCGGAAGCGGAACAATAATTCTCTGTGGGTTGAATAAAATGCTCTAGAAGACGACTAAAAAATTTCCGGAAGATTACTAAGAATGAAAGTCACCTAAAAGAAGGCCGTAGAGTACAGCAGCCAAAATGTTGTGACGATAACAATCAAGAAAAAGACACTCGGTCAGTGTCGATGCGTACTAGCTCCGAACACCCGACTGGGGGTTTGAAAACTTGATTGGGGGTCCCGGGTAGTGCTTTGTGACCCTTGCCATTTTATCAACATTTATTTTTTTCTACCTATATTTTTATAGTTTACAAATTAAACTAAGCACAACTTGACTGGTAAAGAATGAAAACATTTCGGGGATTTTGACGTCATTCTGGGGTCTTTTTTTTGTCTAAATCCGTTATTTGCTTTGCTCATTCTAAGTCACGGAAAATCATTATATAAAATTCACTATTTTTATATGCTAAAATTCTTCAACTTTTTAACAAGAAAAATCAGAAGTTGATGCTAGGAATTGGCGCAAAACATTAATTTAAACTCGAATGACCTATCATGACATGTATTCTACACTTTATATTATTCGGACTATTGTCCTCATCTTTGTCGCCATATTTATTACAACGTTTCGACCGTTGTACGCTCCGGCCTTCTTCAGGTGGTTGGAATATCGAACTGAACCCTTTATTTCGCTCATTGGGATAGATTGTTTTAGTTCCACGAGCCATGTTTAATGGATGTCAATTATCAGTTACCTCCTGTTAATTCCGCTCTGCAATTTCTCCACTGCCTTAACCGGGTATTGAACTCACACACTTTGGGTCCTGTCGCTGGATTTAACCAACGCCTTTATCCACTGTGCCATGTGTCCTTGTTGCATAGATCCAGTGACAGGACCCAAATAGTGTGTATTAGTGTGTAATACCCGGTTAAGGCAGTGGAGAATTTGCAGAGCGGAATTAACAGGAGATAATTGATAATTGACATCCATTAAACATGGCCAGTGGAACTAAAACAATCTATCCCAATGAGCGAAATAAAGGATTCAGTTCGACATTCCAACCACCTGAAGAAGGTCGGAGCGTACAACGGCCGAAACGTTGTAATGAATATGGCGACAAAAATGCGGACAATAGTCCGAATAATGTAAACAGTGTATATAATACCTCATCTCAGAAATGTAGACAGACATATCTCTAATTTGTATTTCGACACATTGAATTATTTTCAATTTTTCTAGTTCAATTGTTCGCCTATATTGTATATGATCCATTATTACAATAGTTTGTATTTTATACAAATACTACCTTATGGCAGAGGACACTCGCATTCTGACCATGAGACCCGGGTTCGAATCTCACCATGGTCAATTTGGAGACTCCCTGATGTTATCGAACTGGAAAGTGCCTGGAAACCATACCGCGGGTTGATCCAAGCCTTGTGAGTAAAATTGGGTCGACGGAAACTTTGGGACCGTCGATAGTTGTGCTAGCACCAAGCCACAACGTGGCCGGAGGGGGGGGGGGCTTGAGCGTGCTGGCTTTGTTCAAATTGTAGATCACGCTAGATAACACGCTCTTTCACAGAAACTGTAACTAAGGTCTGCTCAGCATAGTGGCGGTATAAACCACATGTGGGCTCTGTGGGTTTTGGGTAAACACACATATTCCTGAACGAGCGATTAAGGATAGACTATCCGCCCTAGTAGACGGGTATCCTCGAATACGAGTGGCCAGCTATACCTTATTGAGATGTAGTAGTGTGGCAGGCCTCGTATCATAAGTTGGGTGGAGGAACGAGACCCATGTACCGGCTCTGCACTCGATATATGGATCACTTATAACTAACATAGCATGAAAGATACGGAAACTGAATATAGAATAGGCTGTGTTATGGCTAGTTTCTCCCAACACTGCTAATTGCGACAAAGTCAAAACATTAACCTGAAAACTGAGTTATGTTCTTAAATAGCCTCGTCAGATTGAGACATTCATATGGACGTCATAAACGGTGCCAAACTCGTTTAGAAATATTTAAATTGTCATCTGTATACAACTGCTTTTTCAGATCAATGATTAAAAATGACACCCAGTGGAGATCGAACTCACTACCATTGACATTCATATGGACGTCATAAACGGTGCCAAACTCTTTCAGAAATATCTAGACTGTCATCTGTATACAACTGCTTTTTCAGATCATATATTAAAAATGACTCAGAGTGAGGATCGAACTCACTACCCCGTATTGTAAAACTCTTTCAGAAATATCTAAATTATCATCTGTATACAACTGCTTTCTCAGATCAATGTTTAAAAATGGCATACAGTGAGGATCGAACTCACTACTCTGTATTGTCAAACTCTTTCAGAAATATCTGGAGTGCCAAAGTATACAACAGCTTTCTCAGACCAATAATTAAAAATTGCTTTGAGCGAATGAAGACTGTGTCTTAGAGAGGACCATTCTTCTTCGAATCTCGTAAACTGGTGCTACTGAATTCTAAAGAAAAATCTTCACAATAAATAATAACAAAAAAATCTCGTCACCTGAGGACTTTCCACAACAGTAACAACTAAAATGTCTATCACGTGTAACCCGAAGAGAAAATAATGACATTAACAAAGAATCAAATTCAACAATGTATTGAACTGGTATAAAACTCCGTTTGTTAGGGTGGTAACGTCAGGTAGAACGGTACCAGATTGTAACACCACTGTTGGGGCAGTATCTTTGGTTACGGTGCCATTTTATAATACCTCTACTTAGCTC